GATACAGATACATAGATACAGATACATAGATACAGATACATAGATACAGATACATAGATACAGATACATAGATACAGATACATAGATACAGATACATAGATACAGATACATAGATACAGATACATAGATACAGATACATAGATACAGATACATAGATACAGATACATAGATACAGATACATAGATACAGATACATAGATACAGATACATAGATACAGATACATAGATACAGATACATAGATACAGATACATAGATACAGATACATAGATACAGATACATAGATACAGATACATAGATACAGATACATAGATACAGATACATAGATACAGATACATAGATACAGATACATAGATACAGATACATAGATACAGATACATAGATACAGATACATAGATACAGATACATAGATACAGATACATAGATACAGATACATAGATACAGATACATAGATACAGATACATAGATACAGATACATAGATACAGATACATAGATACAGATACATAGACACAGATACATAGATACAGATACATAGATACAGATACATAGATACAGATACGTAGATACAGATACATAGATACAGATACATAGATATAGATACATAGATACAGATACATAGATACAGATACGCAGATACAGATATGTAGATACAGATACATAAATTCAGATACATAAATACAGATACACAGATACAGGTACATAGATACAGTTACACAGATACAGATACGTAGATACAGATACACAGATACAGATACATAGATACAGATACATAGATACAGATACATAGATACAGATACATAGATACAGATACATAGATACAGATACGTAAATACAGATACTTAGATACAGATACATAAATGCAGATACATTAATACAGATCTGTAGATAGATGTGATAGAGATAGTTTCAACACACACACACACAAGTATTTCATGTATCACATACACACCCACACACACACACACGCACACGAATATGTAACTCTCGCTCTTTCTCCTTTTTCATTTGCTGTTTACGCGCAATTATTGTGCGCGACGACCGCAATAAAAGAAAATTAAAGTTTTTCCCTTTCCTCTGTTGTTGTTGTTGCTGTCCCCACTTCGTGTGCTGACTCTTCCTCTTCTACTTCTGTTCTGCTTCTTCTTCTTCTTGTGTCATTCTTTCAATTTTCTTGCTGTCAGTCCGTGTCGCATCTTTTGGCTCGATTTTTATGTAGCCTGTTGGCCGGCCACCTCTCGCATCGTTTCGCTCCCTCATTTTGGTGTGCCGCTTGACATTTTGGTGCATTTTGCATTTTGCTTTTTGCATTTTGGTCGACGTTCTGCCATTTCACTTGCAGCGTCAAGTATTTTGGCCATGTTCCAAAATGTTTCGAGTCTTCAGACGTTCGCCCATCCAATGGGGCTCTGCTCATGGGGACAGTTAGTGATTAAGCGTGAAAATATCAGACTCATCATCGCGCAACAGCAACAGTCGCAGCAATCGCAA